AAATAGATAAAACATATACTGTAATTCTTCCTGCAGTTCAAAACTTGCTGGGATATATGATTTCATCCTTTTTTTTATGAATTAAACTACTTCATATTTTCTGAAATGGCATACCAGTTCTCCATAATCACGACCTAACAAAAATTTAATGTACTTTCTATTGCCTCTGATGTATATTGTTGCAACTCTGTGCAACGTTGATAGTCTTTATTTGTTCCTTGCAGCCCACTTTAAAGTCTCTAATAACACCAAGGGATTATCAGCCTCTCTTGTCTCAAGAAAACTTTAAACAATATTGTCAAGGAGTTAAACGTCATTAAACGTCGGTTGTTAAGATTGAAGATATGAGAAGGGAACAATTAATGAAGCAGTTTTTCTATCATTATACAATCTGTCTCTGTCTCTGTCTCTGTTTCTCTCTCTCCCCCTCCTCTCTCTCTCTCTCTCTCTCTCTCTCTCTCTCTCTCTCTCTCTCTCTCTCTCTCTCTCTCTCTCTCTCTCTCTCTCTCTCTCTTTCCCGCACGCAAACTAAAAATTACTTCCATCTGTTACATTACTTGTGTATTCCCTCACGCATTTCCTCATGGGAAGTTCAGCGGCGGTAGGCAACCCTCTCATTGCAATGCAGTCATCATAGAGCAATTTTTCAGTAGCTCGCTGACTGCTCGAGAATATAAACTGCTTTTTATCTGAAATTATATGGTTTAGGTTTTAATGTGGAGTTGTCTGATGATAGTGATGGCGGTGGAAAAAAGAAAGAAAGAAAGAAAACAAAAACACATTGTATATCATTATTTTGTGTTTAAAGATTTTGATGCCATTGCTAATCGAACAGCATACACAGCAACCTAATAAAGACACTAACGAGAGGAAGGAATGTGGCAAATTAACTGAATGCCATAAAAAATAACAGTGTGCGTAACTGTTTTCTTCATAGACGATTTTATACAAACACTGGGACGAGAGAAAATGGAAAATGGAAAATACAAAAGTGAAAAAGAACTTGGTTTTCCTCTCTCTATGAAAATTACCTGCCTGGTCATCCTATACTGTGACGTCAGACGGTTTTGCATGTTTTATGCGGGTTGTTATGCAGATGAAAGCACCTACATTAGGCCAGTTATCTAGCACAGGTTCTGCAACGTAACAGAGAGAATAAAAAAGGGGTTAAGTTTTTAAAATGTCATTCATTTAGGTGTAGTTTACCCCATTATACAAAAATATTTTTTTGTATATATATCTAATTGCAATATGATGGAATATTATCAAGTAATTTATCATAAACACATAAAAGAGGGCATACAAACATAATAAACATCATTACCTCTATTTCAAAGATACTAACAAGGGGAAGGTGAAGTTAGATCCGAGAAAGTTTGCAGCAATAATGTTTCAAAATTTCTTAGTAGATATGCCTTCAAAGAATCGCTATCTTAAGCAGATTATTATTATTATTACTTGTATAATTATTCATAAAATCCACAACGATAATGCAGAGTGTTGATTTTAGGTTTTATATTTACTGTAAATGAAACTACGTTATATGTCAAATACAGGCTACTGTGTTGTGCAGACTGATTTTGTTGCATTCATCTTACAAAGACGTTTGGTTATCTGATATACAAACAATGTTACTCTGTGTTCTGTGCTTACAAAAAAGGTCACATTATTACCTGATATCGGCTTCATAAGCAGAAAACATGACGAATGCGATTGACAATTTAACCT